CGGCAGCGAGGCCGCTGGCTCCCACTGTGGTCGCCAGTTTGTTTTCAGCGAAAGTTGTTTCCATTGCAGATTCCATTCGTTCTTCCAAAGATCAAGTATGAGCTTAGATCTCTAGGCTTCACCAAATGATGCTTGTCAAAGGGTGAAAATTCTCTCTTTCTTTCTCAAAATAACCAAAGACTCAAGTCTCTTCTGCTCCAAAAATCCTCCTCCCCTTTATTTCGTGCTTAGGGAGGTATTTATAGGGGTATCAGTGCACCACAGTTGAAACGGGGGCAAGATAACTGACTGAGTATTTTCTCTTTGGCCGCTGCAGTCTACACTGCCGCGCCTATTGGCGCGGCAGTATGGCGCGGCAGTATAGGCTGCCGCGGCCAAAGAGACGGTTATCAGCACGTTCCATCGTGCTTAAAACCGTTCTCCCACGACCTTTAACCACTTTTTTCGTGGTTTAACTGCTTGTCCACGTCAGCACACGTTCTATTTCTGATACGCCGCCACGTGGACTCCAAAAAATCATCGAATAACTGCCTTATAACTGCCATAGCATCCTTCTTTAATTGCCGCGGCACTGCAGGTTGCAGCGCTTAAGCCGCGGCACCCTAGGCTGCCGCGCCTTAGCCGCGGCACCATGGGCTGCCGCGCTTTCGCCGCGGCACCATGGGTTGCCGCGCCTTAACCGCGGCACCATGTCCTGCCGCGCCACAGTGCTGCATGATGTCGTGTATATTGTTCTTCTATTTTGTCTTGAGAGGTGTTTGGATGTCCGTAAACATTTTTTGACGCCTACATGATCAAAGCTCCACATTTCAAAATCCACAAAAAAAATTAAGTGTGTCTGTTAAAAGATGGTTAAGGGCCCAAACTCACGAATAAAAATTATGCATATCTCAAATGGTATTCATCCTTTATGGAATATTGATATAGTTAGAGATAGTGTGTAGCACCAGTCAAACACTATAGTTCTTTGAAAATTCTTACTACTGATGTAATAGGGCGACACTTTGATCCTTAGTTTCTAAGGTTGAGTTAGTTCAAGTCTTACTACTGAGGTATAGTGAGGAAGCTCCATCGTGAGATGGAAGATGGATGTAGGATTGTTATCTGAACCATTATAACAATCTTGTATGTTCCTTGATTGGTTTTTGGTTTTGTTGTTCGCTTTTATTTTCTATTTTTCCGCTACACATTCTATACTTTAACAAAAAACAATAGCAAACCTATCCCCTCGGCTTGCATCTTAGATCCAACGTGCACATCACATACACATATACATACTATTGTATATTTTTAATCGTTTAACAAAAAGTTAAAGCATTACATGAAAGATAGTTTCTCTAATACACGCAGTAGGAAACAAGCAAGTTACAGACTATTCATGCTGTATATGTACGTTTGTCAAAGTTTGTTATACTTTGCCTCAACTTTCCACGGTTCTAATGTTTAGAGGAAATATTGAAAAAAATATTAATAAAGATGTAAATTTTTTTCTTGAAATCCGACATCACCAGAGGTAACCAATAAGAATGAATGAGCAATGAAAGTAATTTATAATAATCATTAAATTATCTTAAGGAGTTTAATAAGGTTATGGTCACAAGCATTTTCTTGTTAACCATCCATATCAACTTATCAACATCACAACAAAGCTTTATAGAATTTGTTCCATATCTTACTTGTGTCAGAGTAAGGTAATGTCAACTTTGATTACACTTACATTTCTCTGGACCACAAAAATTTCCCTATTGAGGAAGAATCCATATTTCTCTCGGAGGCGATATAAATTATATAATTATATGCCAATAATAATTTATTGAGTTTGACCCATTGGCTGATATGATCATCTCTAATCAAATCTTTTTCCCCCTTTTTATTTATAAAAGAGTGCTGTTACGGGGACCCAAAATATGGAACCAAGGGAGGGGACAGGTGAGGTGTCCCCTCCCTATTGCATAATGAGTTGGCATGAGTTGGCACGACCAACTCATTATGCAATAAAGAGGGGACATCTCACATGTCCCTTCCCTTGGTCCCATATTTTGGGTCCTTAAATCATTTTCCTTTATAAAATTGCATACTAATGGTCCATAACCTATCTAAAAAGAACATGCACATTGCAAAGTCTTAGAAAACTACACCCTATCAAATTTCTCTGCAAGATTGCACCTCATAACATCCCATCTAATTCTAACATATGGTTATTATAATTCTCATTTTTTTAGTGGAATTCCATTATCTTAGTTATAGCCATGCCACCACGCGTTGCCTCTAATTAATATTTACTGAGCTTTTTGAATATTTCCTTGCCAATCATTTAAATGGATCTACATCTCAGAAACTTGGCAATGCAATTAATAGAACATAGAAAGGATGAAAATACAACTAAGCAATTAGAAAGAAAACAAGATAGCACATCCTAACCTTTAAATAGCTAGAAATATTCTTGGCCTAGATAATGAGAATAAATGAGATATAACTATAAAAGAAACAGATAAAACGATAACACTACAAAGTAATGATGAGCACTACATAGACACACAAACATACACTTATATCACTATGAGGAAATTTAATTAGTATTAGGTTAATGTTTGTGATCATATTGAAACTAATTTCTGTAGCTAGGGAGAGTAACCAATTTTGTTAGACTATTCCTTGTCAACGGCCATCTTGAATTTCATTTTATCATAGGAGACCCTTTGGTGTTATTTTTATGCTCGATCTAAAATTTTCTTTTAAGTTACCTGCATTCCTACGATGCCATATTAACAGTATAAGGTAAAGATGAACACTAAGGGTTATTACTTTATACTCTAATATGTTATCGCAGATTGAACACACTCTTTTTTTTTGAAAGTGGTACGTTTTTAAATCCGCTATAATTGTATCTTCATAGGATTTAAATCAGGATGCTAGCATACCAACTTAATTTCTCATTCAAGAGTATCAAAATCAAACCTAAGAGAAGGTTTAATTTTTATAGTGGGAATTAGAGATTAAGATCTTAACATCTTATTTTAGAGAGAGAGAGAGAGAGAGAGAGAGAGAGAGAGAGAGAGAGAGAGAGAGTTAGAGAGAGAGAGAGAGAGAGAGAGAGAGAGAGAGAGAGAGAGAGAGAGACGCAAGGCAGTTCAAAGTGAGGGTCCTACTCATTTAGTGGAGGCTCTGACACTCGGGTTGTCTCCCTCTGACTTGTGCTCTCACTAACAACAAAAGAAGCAAACCAAAGTTCATGTACAGCAGCAGAGCTGGTTTGCAATTACCAAACTGCTTAAGAACTTTTATTGCATCAACACCAATAATCTTAATAAAAACGTCCTACATAGTAACGTAGGCCCCAAAATCCAAGCACCCACAAAACTACTGAAACATTAATAAAGAAATCTTTTATATATGACACATATATATAACACTAACAGTAAGAAAAATGAACATGAGAGGTCACAACCCATTCTGCCAAATAAGGTACCTAAAGGTAGTGGTGAAGGTCATGCTCTGTAATGATATCGTAGCACGTAGATATCATCAATAATTTATCTTTCTAAATGAGAGGACAAATTCCTATATGATATTCTCATATATTGATGATATTATAAGCCGGGTGATCTAAAAATTTGTCGTAAGCACCCTATTAACTAACAAAATATATGACACCGTTCATCTATTGCCATATATTATCAGATCTATGTACATAAAGAATTGAATAGTTTTCGGTCGTCTAACTTGTGCATCAAATGGGCTTATATCAAGCCAATTTTACAAAACACACTTTTAGAATCATTTAGCTCCTAGTTTGGTGAAGTGATTAGAAAATCTAAATTTTACGAACATTTATATAAATAGATTGTGTGACAGGCAAACCTGATGGCTGATATCAACCACCACATTAAATACCTGCTAGTTAGCTCACGACAATAATCCAATTTCATAGATCATATACTTGATTTTTACTAAACCCCAAGTTTTAACCATAAACTGTGGAGCAGGGAAGCAAGACCCTTTTTTATTTTTTTATTTTTTATTTGATTTAGAAATACTAATAAGATATCATGTGCAAAATCTAACATGAAGAGGGAACATATATCTAAACCAATATTCTATGATCTAGTCTACTAAATAATTAGAGATGTTGGGTCCCATTTTGCAGGGTATGGGAGAGATAAATCATCACCCTGTCGGTTGTTACCCACTAATCTCTCTCTCTCTCTCGAATTCAATTAAACCAAGCTCTCTCTCTCTCTAGAATTCAATTAATAAACCAAGCCCCCCCACCCCACCCCACCCCACCCACACACACAGATCTCCATTGATGAATTGAATTGGGCAA